ACACACACACACACACACACACACACACACACACACACACACACACGTTTACCCTGTTTGTCTGTCACTGATTCGGCACTCTCACAGATCCTTGAACCTGGATCTGGACCTCAAACCTTTAAAGTTCTGTCCCTGACTGAGGCGCAGCCGTCTCACATCACACAGCTACAGGCTTTGCCATGGAGTCGTCAGCTCAAGCTGAGGGTGATGTGTCATCTGTGATAATTGTGGGACATCTGTGCAACTCTGTCAGACAAGTCCTACAAAAGCTCTGCAGGGCATCTCCACCTTACAAAAATGTCCCAAAGCTTCAGAAATTCCCTCCCTCCTTACAAAACTGTCCTCACTTCCTCTTTCATTTAAAACTTCCTGATAAAGTTCCCTGTTCTTCCACAGAAGCTTTGTGTTTGTGTTTGTGTGGACCTTTGAAAAGTCTCAGACCTGAATGTGTCTTTACGAGGACCGGACAGATCGTCCTCACAGAGCAGAAGCGTCTCAGAAGCGAAGACATGTCCAAACAAAGACTCAGCTGTCATTTGGACGCCACTGCATCCTCTCCTGGTTTCGCTGTGACTCAGCGTGACTTTCTAAATGCTGTAACTTCACTTACAGTCAGATGATAAAGCTCAGAAGAAATCACCTCCTGTCACCACGAGGATGGGGCCACAGTTTGATTACAGGAATATACAAACAGCACATGGTGAGAGAAGCTCGGCTTCAGTGTTTCACACCGATGTCACGATGTTGGACACGAGGCAGTGAAATCCAACATAAACATGTCGGCTTTGAGGGAAGATTTAATAAACGGAAGCAGCAAAATGTGACGTGTAAACTGATCTACTCTGGTTCCTTTCCTGTGTCTCAAACAGCAAGTCATGTGACCCACCGCCATGCTGTAGTTTATTCCCTCACTGAGACAATTGAGAGCTGTTACACTCCAGCAAGATCACTCAAACGCTGCTCAGTGGGAGTGGTGGCGCAAACGAAGACCCCATGAAGGTTTGGCCTGGTTGGAGGAGGACGGGCTCTCTCTGAGAACACTTCCTGTCAGTGGACTTGGACGGCCACAGCCACAAATTACAGGTTTGCCTCATCACAGCTGTTTAAAGTTTATTAATGCTTAGTTTGCATTATTAGGGGCGTGGCCTCTTTGACTGATAGGTGGATGGTGACACAGGTGGCTGTAGCTGCTAGCCAGGCTTCACCTGACCCTAAACTGGACCATGTTTGTGCTGTTGGAGCCTTTTGGGGCATTTGTAATGACATCATGTGACCAATTATATGTCTACTGTGAGGTCACTGTAATAACAGACCGTCCAAGAAGGCGGAGCTCCAGTTTGGGTGAAATTCTTTGGGACTAATTAGCAGGTATCTGTGTCCGGGCGATGCTCTCACACTGCCTGTCGAAGCATTTTGCTGATAATGTCACGATTTCTTATAGAAATGATCAATTCTGTCTCAAAAAGGGCAAAATGGTAATGGGGCTACCCTAGTGTAGGTAAAGGTTTCACCTTATGGATCTACTTTGAAAACTCAACAACAATTCATTCATAAGACTTTCAGAAATAGTTTTCTATAACTTTATTTAAGGTTTCCGTCCTTCATCATCTTTCCTTTCATGTAGACGTGTTTTTGCTTCCTTTGCAGTTTGCTTGCAGGCCGTCACACTGTTTGTATATTATAAATATAGATTTGTATCTGCCCCAAAGTCCTTCTAGAAACAACTCTCGCCACTTAGCATCTACTCTGAAACAGCCTCTGGCACTTTCTTGGCCAGTTATCTAAATTGTCTTTAATTTTAAGGCTCATTGGGACATAAAAATCAGGACATTTCCTTCGGGATTAATAAAGCATTTCTGATTCTGAAAAACGTGCATCGGCTCAAATCTGATTTTAAAAAATGCTTGAAAACTCTGCTGAACTACAATAAAGATGAAAAATATTTTTCCCTCCTTGGAAGAGAAACTTCACCCCGTCTTTGCTGTTCCTGAATCGTCCTCCGTGTTTTTTTCTCTGAACTTGTGTTCAGATTCAGCGAGTCGCTGATGTCACTCCACGTGTGACACGTGTCTCCTTTTCATTAGAAATTCAACCTCACATCAAGACGCTGAAGCTGAGATGTTGACGCTGTGATGTCATGAGTGTTAGGGTTCCAGCACTCTGATTGGCAGATGTAGTTTTCAGGTTTTGGCGTTAATGATGCGTGCGGGAGGACCTGGCGTCCTTCGTTCTCTGTCTCTTCACACCGTCTCTCGTTCTTCATCCATCATCCCTCCATCTCTGCCGTCCTCTCGGGCAGCGGAGGTGAAGGCTCCTCCTCCTCCTGTATCTCCGCAGGTGTATGGACAGGTGGAGGTGAAGCACTGGAGCTCAGCTTCTTGCTGACTTGAGCATAAACCGAATCCCCGTCGTAGTTGCTAAAATCCTCCAGAGCGGCGTCATGTGCTCTGGCTGGCTTGTGATTGGCCGGCATTGCTGGTGATGATATGTCCGGGTTGGTGCCGTGTCCTCCGATGGCGTGGTAGATGTGCTCAGCGTTTTGATCTGTGAACAGACAGACGACAGTTAGGAACTAATGATCAGATCACGATGATCAATAAAAGTAGTTTCTGTGGTTTCTTCGTTCTCTCCCTTCAGAGAATAAAACCTTGGCTCTGTGGCGCCCCCAGGTGGCTCCTCCAGGGAGTGAACTGCACTGAGACTTCCTCTTCAGGACGTGACTCTGAACACACAAACACAGGCATCATGGGACATTCAGCAATCTGAGTTTCTTCACCGAGTTTCTTAATTTTTAAGTGTTCTCAGTAAAAAATAATATCACGAGTTCATGAAAGCGATTCAGCCTGAAGCCAGAAAATCGAGCATGAGAGCAAACTAAAAGCATCTTGTTCTACACGAAAACTCCATTAAATATTCTTACTGAACCTGTTAATGAGCCTCATTTGTGCACATGTGGAATATTTCTTATTTACTTATATTTATTCATATCATCTGTTTTATTCTTTAGTTTCAGGTACGATGGAGCTGTCGGGACTTTAGAGTCGGGACATCGGGAGCCGGAGAGACAGCGAGAGGTGAGGACATCATCTTTTTATTTATTTTTTTTAAAAAGCACATTGATTAAATTCAAGTCGCTGTTATTTATTTAGCCCCAACAACACTTGCCTCAAAGTGTTTTATATTGTAATGTAAAGACCCAACAATATTACAACTATCAGATGAGCCCCTTTAAGCAAGCACTTGGTGACGGTGGGAAGGAAAAACTCCCTTTTAACAGGAAGAAACCTCCAGCGAATTAGGGTCTGCAGCTGGCTGCTGCTCAACCCTGATTGGACAATTTGATCTACAGCAGCTTGGTGCTTCATGGCGACACATTGAAATTTGCCACGCCACCAGGGGATCAGTGCAACATCATACTTCCTGTTTCCTCCTACATTTGGACACTGATGAAATGATTTCTGCAGACCTCACGTTAAATCAGCTCTGCTGATAATCACGGAGCATCTCGTCCTTCCTGCTTCTGCGCACGAAAAATGAGACTACAGATGAAACGTGCCTCTCCTTTAAATGCAGAATAAATTTAAAAGATCCTTCAGCTCGAGGTCGAAAGCTTCTTTTTTGTGATTCTTTGTTTTTCCTTTGGAAGAATAAAGTTATGTTAAAGGTGGGAATGCACACAGGAAGTCATTCATATTTTTTTTCTGAAACTATTAAAACAGTCTTCCCAGCCTCATCATTCATTTGACCTCATGAATCGTATAATTTAAATGTCTTTAGTTAAAGTCTGCTGTCTGCCTGGTGTTTGATGGGATAGAGGGACCTTGCTCAGTCTGTGGCGCCCCCAGGTGGCTCCTCCAGGGAGGGTCCCTAACAGGGTTAACTGACATGTCAGCTCCACAAAGATGTGATATCTTTGTGGAGCTGAATCGGCTCTCGCTGACGGTCAGTAGCTGTTAGCGCAGTAAATTCTGACTTATTTTCCATGGTGGTCATCGTTTCCAGCACACGAGGTATTCATTTCACCTCCGATCTTCAGGTTCAGAGCCATTACTCATCTACCTCTGTGCACTCACGCGTAAAAGACATTTTTCTGCAAAGACTTTTATTTTCTGGAGGTGCTGTGAGCTCTTCCTCCACCCTGACTTCATTCCACATGCAGTTTGGTGCTGCTTATATAAAACTGAAGTAAACTCCGTCGCACAAACCTGAAAATGTGATGAAACTACTTCATTAAAACTTCATTTAGTATAGCTGAAAAGTCTGCTCACGTTTCTCGTCGTTCTGGATCTCGTTGATCGTTGGGTTTTCTCTCACTTCCTCCAGCTTCACCTGTCAATCAACACGACAGGTTAACTATGTCTGTGAAGGTTCTCAGTCATCCAGGTCATCGTAGTCCAAGGAGCTTGCAAAGAAAAGCGTCTGGACTTCTTTAAGTTGCTTGAAGACGTTTCACCTCTCATCCGAGAAGCTTCTTCAGTTCTAAGGTCAAATATTGGAGAGTCCCAGATTTAAACGCTGTGGGAGTGTCCCCCCCCCCCAAGAGGGACAAAAGACCCCCGTTTCAAAGAGCCGGAAAGTAAATAAGCAGCAGACAGAAATGAGGCAGGTCGAATCTTCTTGCGTTTCACACATGCACAGGACTAGAGTGTAAGTGTTTTCGGCTGTTTCAATGTGGACGCACAACTCTGTGAAAATGACTGAAAACGCTAGTGTGGACGCGGAGCGTTTTCAGACAAAAACGCCGTTTTCAAATCTATCCGGGCCAGTGTGGACGTAGCCTGGGACTCTCCACCATTTGACCCTAGAACTGAAGAAGCTTCTCGGATGAGATGTGAAACGTCTTCAAGCAACTTAAAGAAGTCCAGAAGCTTTCCTTTCTCAAGCTCCTTAGACTACAAGTTAAGCCACGCCCCGTCCCATCAGAGGTTTTAGGTCGTTAAACTCGTCTCTTACCACGCTGATGAGCGTTGACGGGGTTCTGTTCACCTCCAGATCCTGAAGCTCAAACGAATGTCTGAAAAACAACAAACAACAGCGTCAGATCAGGTTTTAATGATTCACTGATCATTTCAGATGTTACTGGATTGTTTAAGATTGACTCTGATAATCACGTTAAACTTTTCATTTTCATTCATTTCATCATTCTGTGATGTAGAAAGTCTGCTGACCTGCCGCAGTCGCTGCAGAGACCCGTGAGGAAGATGGAGAGGATGAGGAGGAGGATGAAGAAGCTAACCACTCCTGATGGCAGGAGCCACAGCTCGATGGCGTCTGGTCCGGTTGCCATGATCCCTGAGAGGAGAGAAAACGCAGATGAGTGAGGACGACCTGGAGACTTTATGACCTCCAAGAAACTCACTTTGCATTTTAGTGTTTTGTAAAGAACTTTAATTAGCATCAGATGTAAATTATCCTCAGTTTCTCTGATCATTAACAGGTCTAACAATCAGCAGAGGTCAAAGGTCAGAAACTTTATTCTGACCTATTCTGAAACATAAATTCCACCTGATCTGTTTTCATATCAAAGGAATGCTTTAAAAGCGCTCTTCAAACATAACTGAGCAAATATGAGCTCAAATTTACTGATATCATTGTGTGCTGGAGCCCTGAGTCATGAACGCACAAAGCAACACACTCGTGGATCAAACGTGACCCTGTGTGTGCTTTAAGGCCGGTCCGTCGTCGGGTGTGTACTTGTTCTTTCAGCTCAGCGGCGATTGAATCATCCTGACCAACTCCTGTTACACAAACAGTGAAGCAGATGCCGGAGGTGGGTCGCGGTGCGAGAACGCCATGTTCAGATTAGTATAAACTGCATTTAGCGCAGTTATTTCACTGTAATAAAGGAAACGAGGCGCAAACAGCCAAGCTAACACGTATCCACCTCACTGATTATCACGCCACATCTCTTCTGTTAAATGTTGCAGTGACAAAACATCAGTTAAATGTTTCAACAGCTGGGGCTGTTTTTTATTCTGCGCAGGGGGAACTTCCTGTTGTCTCCAATGCCTGTCTCCAGAGCTGCGACTCAAATACGCAGACACATCGTAGTCCATCGAACTTGAGACTGAACTTAAAGTGAAGTAAGGCCACAGAGCAGGCGAACCATGAAGAGATTAGAATAAATGAATGAAAACAGGAAACATCATCACCATGTGCGATGATGATCAGAGCTGCGGTGAAAGGTTTGGGCGGGGCTGCTCTTTTTAAGATTTCTTCTCTTTTCTCAGTTGTTTGGAGACGGAGTTCCACGTATGAAGGAGACGACTGCCTTTCTGTTTATTTTCTTTTTGTTTTTGCAAAGAAAGCGAGCCTATAGCGTCCACAAAAGCGAGTCCCAGCAGGTCACCTGATCTCAAGGTCAGCCCACATCACCTGATGGCTCAGGCAACACCCTTGTCCACATCCTGATGGGTGAGCAATTTAAGCTGCTTTATCCTGCCGGGCCACAGTTTCTGCACATTTGCAAGCCCCTTTGCCTTCCAGCGAAGCCTCCTCTGTTCTGTACGAGGAGGTGGTGCTGTCGCTCCACCCGCTCCATCTTTGTATGCACGAGCACGGTGAGGTCCCAGAAAAATGCCAAACAAGTCAAAAAAGAAAAAAAAGCCACGAAGAGGCGTAAAACAAGTAAAAGAGACATTAAGAGTCCATAAAGAGACCCTAAATAGTTCTGACAAAGTGCAAAACAGCAACATTGTATTGATAAAAGACAATGAAGTCACAACAGTTGGCCTCTTCACAGACACAAACCCCAAATTACAGCCCTTTGTTTCAGCCTGTTCCTCATAGAACAGGGTGGGGTCTGCAGCTGGGGGCCCGCTGCCTCATCATCTGTCTCTGGTTTTCTGGTGTGAATACCAAACGATGCCAGTCTGTCTTTTAACCTGTTTCCTGGTCTTAAAAGTGCTACTATGAGAATATTTTTCACGTCAAACGTGAAAATCAAGAACACACTGATGCTGCTGCTATCACATAAGACAGCTCAGAAAAGTAACAGATAACAGAACCTCAGATGTGAAACTTGGTAAAATAGTTACTTTATGATATCTCTTGACACATTAATATTAGGATAATTAGTGTTTGCACATTAATTTCCTTTACAACTGACATTATGACTGTATGTCTGTGAATTAAAACACATCAACGTTCTCATCTACATTCATGTCAGTTGAGTAACTGCAGGCAGCTCCAGAGTACGAGTGCAGCTCTGAGTGTTCCAACAGTTCAGTTTACTTTCTTAATGTATGAGCGCTAAAGTTTAAGAAGCAGTGTGGACGTACCTGTGTGCAGACAGCTGTGTGTTCAGGTTCAGTGGTGCTATGAGGGCTTGTTCCTGCTGCACGTTTACTCATTGACAGACTGAACAAACACTCTGCTGTGAGAGCTGCTTAAAGACACACTGCACAAACACTGCACAGGACTCCGGATTCCCCCACAGGAACTGAGACCTGCTTAGCTTAGCTAAGCACAAAGACTGCATGTGCACATATTCAAAATGTTGCAGTCTTTGCTTAAATCTAAAAATGTGTGATTATTAATGCTAACAAAAATCGGTAATTATTCAGAAATGTGCAGAAAGACTGCAGTTCCTCTAATATCCAACAGAGGCTTCAGCATGATCATAGTTTAATGGGCACTAAACCTACTGTGTGTATATTAATTTTAGGCAGAGTGCTGACAGTCATGGGGATTTATGTCAAAAACATTAGTCCACATTAATAATGAGGCTCTAACACATTTTAGACCCATCAGAGGTCACTGTGAGTGACTAAAACTGGAACGTGGCATCACAGACTGTCTTGTTAAAGATTTGCTGTTCATAGCAGATTCGATTAGAAGGTAAAGCAAATCAACCTGTTTGAAACCTCTATTTTCACAGAGCTACAGGCTAGCAGCTCACTTGCTGCCTCTTTTTCTGCTTTAATGTTTTCATATCTCTGCTTTTTTATTTTTAACACCCTCTGCGTATTTGCTGTTTCACTGCTGATTTACTGATGAACTTTGACCTGCTCTACGGTACAAGTGTATGTGAACAGGATGTTCCTCACCTGTCCATGTGGTTCCTCACACATCTGTTATAATCACTGTGTTGAACATTTACTCTGTGCTGTCAATAATACAGCCACAAATGCTTTCAGAAGTGGCTTTGTTTCATAATTTTAGTGTTCAAACCGAGAATGATATTCTCTCCTGATAGCTGAACGGGGGGTGTGTTTTACATTTTATGGCGTCTTTCTAACCACAGGCAGCTGCGACTGATAAGCTCCATAAAGCCGAGATCAAACTGAAACTGGAGCACCAAGAGCAGCTCCACCCGAACTGTGCAACTGACACTTTCTGCTTGACTGGCAGAGTGAGGCCCTTTGAGGACTGTGAGAGGCAGATAACAGCAGCCTTGCTGTTAAAGGACACATAAAGTGAATTCACATAATTTTTTCTCTATCGCAGTCTGCATTCAGCTTCCTGTCTGGATGTTGTCATACGTGCATTGTGGTGTTAAAGTCCATAGAAACCCTGTAGTTACTGTAAAATGTCAGCTAAAATTTCATTTTGATAGATAAAGGGAGAATCAGCTTTAGTAAAATATGGGGTGTTGGTAGGTTGGTAGGTTGGTTTTTAATAACAGATATATTAAAAACAAATCTAACAGACGGTTCACCTACCGCCTACTGGTGATGGCCTCGCCTCTGTCAGTCTGCCCCAGGGCAGCTGTGGCTGCTACTGTAGCTGCCTCCACCAGTGTGTGAATGAATAGTGGACTTGTAAAGCGCTTTGAGGGGTCCCGAAAAGCGCTACATAAATGCAATCCATTATTATTACTTTCTGCTGTAACAAAACAAATTTCCCACGAGTGGGACTAATAAAGGTTATCTTATCTTATTAAATACAGGTTTTAGATTTATTTTCAGTCAAGGCCCCAACCTGGAGCTCAGTGAGGCAACAGTGTTCAGCTAACAGATAAACGTACAAACTATAGACAATATTGCTTTATTGCAAACAGAAATTAAAAACTGGTCCCATAATGTTAAATGGTCACTTGATTTTAGTCGTTGTTTAGTAAAATGTAAAAAAGAGAAACCAGAAGAACCAGAAGTTTGGTGCAGGAATATGATGGTCTGCATCACTATCATCTGATGCTAACAAACAACCCAAACCAACAAAAGTAAAGAAATGCTTCCACTGCAGAGTCAGTCCCTCAGAAGAAGAAGAGACTTCCTGTACACAAACTTTTTCCTCTTCTATCGTTGCTCTTTCATCAGCTGTGCCTGAGCCTGCCTCCTCATGGCGAGGGCTGTCAAGGCGCAACACAACGTCAGGCAGGGAAAGGAGGCGCAAGCCAGCAGGAGGCGCTCCTCTCCAAACTCTCTGACCATCGCCGGCCGCCGCCATAGGAAGTCGTGGAACAGCGCTTCCTGCTGGGCCAGTGTGCAGAGTGACAGCAAGATGTGGAAGAGCTGGTGTCCGTGGCCGACGATGTCAAAGCGGCCGGGGGAGAAGCGCTCAGGAACGGGGCAAGAGAAGAAGAAGGCGGATAGCATAAACAGCACCACCTGGTGGAAAAATGACAGAAAGCTTTTTGACAGTAGCACAAAAATATACAAATAAGAACAATTTGTGCAATATTTTTACCCAAAATTACTAACCAGTAATAAATATAACTGTTAGGTCTAATAAATCCATGACTAAAGAAACAAGTAAAAGGAACTACCTGCAAGAAGTGCAATGGTAGTGCAGGGCTGCCTGTCCAGCTGTGGGTGGCAAGACGGTGGGCAACAGGGCTGATGTCCACTAGGTAGGCCACACCCATTGGGATCAGCTGGCAGAGCTTCCTGTGAAGGGGGTATGGACGGCGGAAACGAAGTTTTGCATAGCAGCAGGCGGTGCACGAGAGCCACGCAAGGAGGGCAGCTGCTGGGAGGAAGACCTGAAATCCAAAAACCTGATCAGGACATCTGAACATACCGATGGGACGGAAGTCTCAAACACAAACCTTTCTAACCATGTTTTCCCTTCCATCTGAACATCCAGGCATCATTGCAATAAGAAATCCAACTGTCCACAAAATAATCATCAAACCATTAAATAAGCCAACTACAAAACATCCAAATTGTCCATCCGTGAACAAACCTGTCCAGCCTGCACTGGGTTCATCAGTCCAACATTCACACTATTCAGTCATCTAATCACCCCACTTTCCAATATCCAACAGTCACAGTATTCAGCTGTCCAACATCCAATCATTAAACTGTCCAACCACCCAGATCTCCAACCATACAGCTATACCCGTCCAACAATCCAATATCCAATTATCAAATTGTTTACCAATATCATTTACAAACCATCCAGTCATCCAACACCCAGTCACTAAACTGTCCACTCATCACACTATTTAACAGTCCATGAGTCAAACTATTCAACCTCCTAGCTCCAGTTGGGAGGTATATCCAGTTGCATCACTGGATACACAGCCATAACAATATCCAGTGATTCAATAATGCAACATCCAACAATCAAATGAACCAAATTCCCAACCATTAAACCGTCCAGGACTCCATTTATTAAACTATCCAACCATCCAGTCATCTAACATCCAATCACTGAACTGTGCAACTTTCACACTATTAAAATTCTAACTACCCAACTATCCAACCATCAAGTTCTCCAACCATACAAACATACCAGTATTCAACATCCAACTACCTAGTATCGACTCGTCTAACTGTTTGACCATCACACCATCTTGCAGTCCATGTATCCAACTAGCCAGTCAGCCTGCTCCCCAAAAATACAACCATATCAATATCTAAACATCCAGCCTTCAGACCATTAAGGTATTACACTGTCCAACAATCACAATATCCAAACATCCAATGGTTATACTATCAAACCATCCAACTATCCATATACAATACAGTCATCTAACTGTCAGGGGGTGAAAGGCTGATATGTGGAAGTGGACATGAAAGCAGACTCAAGGGACAATAGACTAGCAGTTACTAGCAGACAGGCACAGTGGACTGGAGCAAACTGAAGGCATTGCAAGATCAGGCTCCATCTGTAGAAAAAGAGGGGGTTGGTACCCTAGAGAGGCTTCAAAAGGCAAGAGACCTATAGCAGAAGAGAGAAGTGAGTTATAAGTATATTCAGTCCATGAAAGTTGTGAGGACCAGGTAGAAGGGTTGTGGGTGTAACACAGTGAAGGGCAATTTCCAGTTGGCTCCGAAAGTTGTGCAAAAATCTTCCAATTGTCTTGTTAACGGTTGAAGAAAGTGACAAGTAAAGAAAGCTGCAGCGGAGTTTAGTTCCAGGAACGGCAAAAACAAACTGGACACACAAGGAAACAGCAGTTAGAATTCAACGAGGCAAATAACAAGAGATGGAAGAGCCAAGTTACAGCCGTAGCTGACGGACTGGCAATGAGACAAAGGGTGAGCTGGTCTTAAATGCCAGCCTGCTGATTGCCACTGATGGATCACTGCTGGATGATGCATGTGGAAATGAGCCCCTGCCCTCATGGGCAGATACTGGAGAACCAGAGCCAGCATGGAGAAACACATCAAAACAGCAGACACTCACGTAACCACCCAGCCATCACAGAATCTAGCCATCTATCATTCTGTGAAAATACCCAAACATAACACTGTCAGACTATCCAACATGTAACATCCAACTGTCCAACCTCCTGCCTCCATCCAGTCAGTCAGTCAAGACTAAATTTCCACTACCTTACCAGAAAACTACCAGGCCGTCCAAAAAATCAACCAACATTGCAGACGTCCAACAATCAGCCATCAAATATTACCATAGTTCAAGATCTGTGAACAAACCTGTCCCAGCATGCTTTGTCTCCAGGCAGTGTTGGAGCTGTACAGGCAGAGAGCCAGAGCACAGCCATACTGATAGACGGCCACGCCCACATAGTCCAGGAAGAATAGTGAGTAATGCGCCTGCTCTGAGTGGGACTGCAGCAGGTGAGCGGCAGCACTGCAGGAGGTAACACGATGTTAGTTAAAGCTGCAATATTTAAAATGTTTACATTAAGCTTCAAACATCATTCCCAAATCAAATATATAGGAAGACTTTGTTATCGTTGGTGACTAAAGAATGAATCACTCACCTGCAGCTGAGGTATGTGACTGCAGAAAGAACATAGAGGACCAGAGGTAGAGAGGAGGCATCCACAGAAAAACCTTCACCTTCAGGACCCTGCAGTCGGAAACCCAGGATTCCCTTAATAGGTCAAAGGTCAGACAACAGGAAGTCAAACAGAATGTCATCATGCAGCAGAAGATCAGAGCATCTGTAAATATCCTACCCCTCCTCGCATGATGGCGAACACCATGAACCTGAGCACCACGAAGGCGGCAGCCAGCAGGTGGCTCCACACATTCAGCGTCTCATTGTGGATCTGGAACAGGCTGAGGGCGTAACACCGCCACGACATGCCCGTGGGACGGTACCCCGTCAGGATGAAGCGCTCCCGAAACAGAGGGGGAACATCCACGTCTCGGAGGGTAGGGGGGTTGGATGGGAGGAGGCGGTGCAGCAGAGGGAGGAAGTTAAGACAGAGCGAGGGATGGGCAAACGACACCTGAGGCATGATGGGAGATGACCCAGCTGGATGAGGAGGAAATGATAGGAAGATTCTGTTCTGTTTGATTACCCCTACGTGAAAATGAAAATCACACTTCAGTAAATTAAATTATGAATTTATTTGGAAGCCAAAAAGCTGAGAGTATTAGCTGTAAAGCTTATATCCTTGCTATGCTTTTATCTGTTGGGAATTCCAAATTATAAAATGTAAAATAAAAGTTTAATGCTGGGAAATGACTGTAATTCAGCAGAGATATTTGTTATTAAAATGTCAAATATTTGTACTTTATCAAACAAATTTCTACCATGAATATACCAGTACACGCTCTGAAGTAATTTATTTTAAAACTCTAATTTTCTAAATAAATACATTTCTAAAGGTGATGTTAACATGAAATTCACACCAGACGTAGGTAACAACCCATCCAATGCACACATACAAATAAATCAAACCACAGATGTCCATAAACTAATTTATGTGTAATAATGCAATATGGCCTGTATTTGTAAAGCGCTTTACTAGTCCCTAAGGACCCCAAAGCGCTTTACATATCCAGTCATCCACCCATTGGTGATGGCAGCTACATTGTAGCCACAGCCACCCTGGGGCGCACTGACAGAGGCGAGGCCGCCGGACACTGGCACCACCGGGCCCTCTGACCACCACCAGTAGGCAACGGGTGAAGTGTCTTGCCCAAGGACACAACGACCGAGACTGTCCAAGCCGGGGCTCGAACTGGCAACCTTCCAATTATCCGATTACAAGGCGAACTCCCAACTCTTGAGCCACGATCGCCCAGGGAAAAAGTATTGAACACATGAAGAAAGGGAGGTTCAAAAAGGCATGGAAATGGCATCAGCTTCAGAAAATCAGTAATTACTGCAAATTAATATCAACTGATTCAGTCCCAACTGATGGCCTATAAAAATGGTGTCTCATCACCTAGGTGTCACACAAGTAAACAGCTCGTAATGGATAAAACCAGTGAGCTCTCTCAACACCTTAACAAACCGTATTTTTGTAAAACATACTGATGGCATTGGATACTTGGCACTTGTGGAGAGCTACAGAAAGACCTGGAATCAACAAGTTCAGTTGTTTCAAAGAAAACAAGTTATGCACTTAACTACCATGGCCTGTATGGACGTTCACCATGCAAGAGTCCATTGCTAAAGAAAAAGCGTGTTGAAGAGCGTTTAATGGTTGCTGAACAACATTTAGACAAGCCTGTGAAACAGAGGGAGAATATAGTCTGATTAGATGAGACCGATGCCAAAATACATCAAAACACCATGTTTGGAGAACAATAAGCACAGCATATCACCCCAAAAACACCAACAGTCAAGTCTGGAAGTGGAAACATTGTGGCGCAGGGCTGTTTTTCAGCATAATATATTTTTTGGAGCACAAAGCACATTAATCCAAACAAAACTAAGTCAAACTTTACTCAACTCATTCTTCTTGCTTCCTCCACTTCCGTACCATTGATTCATTAATGTTGAATTCTCTCACAGCTGCTCTATTCCCATGTTGTTGCAGTATATTAATGACTAACCTCGTATTGTGGATGGATTATCTCAGTTGTTCTCCTGACTGAAGTTTGGCATTTGTCCCTAACCATCGGGAACCCTCACGTTAATTTTTATCAGGTGGAAAAAAGTTAGCGTTCATCCTCCAGCTTCACTGTGTTTATGTTATGCTAACATAGCTGTGTCGCTAGCAATCACGTAGCACATCATTATATACCAGCTAGCCCAACTTCAGTAACCCTACAAACATCACTGCTGTTTAGTTTTCTATTTTCATTTATGTTGGAAGTGGTAGCAGAGCTGTACGTTTGAATTGTTTCAGAAATCTCTCAGTCAGAACATGCTACATCAAGTTTAGGTGGAAGCTAGCGAGCTAACTTCCTGCTAACTCCTAACTAACTCCGTTACATTTAATAAATCCTGTTTTTATGGATGCCTGGATGTTAAACTTAATTGTTACACCTGGTAAAGCAGCAACGCTGATCATTTTATTAAAGAAGAAAGAATTTAGACCGTTTTTAACTCTCAGTGTTCGTTTGACTTTGGTACCTGAAGTGGACGGAGTTTTGGACCCCGATTACTCCGCGAGGCTCCTGACTACAGTACCGTAATGCTCCAACAATCCATCAAGCTTAGCAGCTTCGTAGCTTACCAAAGTCGCACTAAATCATTTTTTGACAGATTTTTGAGCGCCGTGTAGCACATAAAATCAGTTTGAGGTCAATAAGCACAACCAGTTCATACATAAGGTGCGCCGGATTATAAGGTGCACTGTTGATTTTTGAGAAAATTGAAGGATTTTAAGTGCGCGTTATAGTGCAGTAAATACGGTACTTCATATAAATGAAGGAAGGATGAATGGAAAGATGTACAGAGACATTCAGGATAAAAATCTGCTGCCATCTGCCAGGATGATGAAGATGAAACGAGGGTGGACGTTTCAGCAGGACGATGATCCCACAGCCAAGTATTCTCTCAGCTGCTTTCAGAGAAAGAAAATAAACCTGCTAGAATGAACCAGCCAATCAGCTGACCTGAATCCAAATGAAAACCTATGGAGAGATCTAAAGTTCATAGCGGGGTCGACAGAACCTTCAGGATTTGAAGACTGTTTGTGTGGAACAATGGACCAAAATCACACCTGAGCAATGCGTGAGACTAGTTTCTCTGTGCAGGAGTTGTTTTGAAGCTGTCATCATCAATACAGGCTTTTGCACGAAGTATTAAATACATTTCAGTAAACGTGTTCAATACTTTTTCCCTATGTCTTTCTAATTAATACACCATTAGAAAGTTTGAATTCTTTGCATCTGTGTACTGCATTGTTTCACATCAATAGCAGCTTAAAAATTTATTTACTTTGAGAATTGGTGAGGTATTCAGTACTTATTTTACCCCGCTGTGCATGAGAGGGAAATAAATGTACAGATAGGTGGCAAATAGATTGAGTTAAAAGCAGTCCAACAGCTTTGATTGGGGCTTGTTCAGCTTCAACAAACTTTAGCTTAAAGATGCTTCAAATGCCTTTTTTCTTTGGAAACACTTAAGCTTCAATCATCTCTGTACAAAGGTCAGAGGTCACAGAATCTGAAGGACAAGAAGGAAATCAAACCTACCTGAGCGTCTCCTGGATGTGAGCTGCTCGCTGCTACGCTGCACAACTTATTTTCTACTCACTTCTATTGTTTTCTGTTCGGGTCTTTGGGCCTGCTGTCAGAGTGTTCAAATCACACACACACACACACACACACACACATACACACACACACACACACACACACACACACACACACACACACACACTCCACAATGTGTTCTTGTTTTCAGCTAATTAGAGCTGATTTCAGTCTGAACAAGTTTTTCTCTGCAGAGGATTTCAGACATCATGAGACTCAGCAGTAATGCACACTTCGCTGCAGCGTGCATGCCAATACACCACCAAATCCTCCACACAGTAACGTCACATTTATTCTCTAAATACGTCAGATTAATAAAAGGAAAGATTAGGAACTTTTCTAATTCGTCCAGTGCACATGATGGTAAATTTGGAGACTAATTCAACAACAAAAAAAAAAAAAGAGACAAAGCAAAGCAAAATTGTAAACGTCAAGTTTTTTTTTCTCTTTTTATTTTAGTTACATTTCCAAATTCTAAGTGAAAACTATTCTATTCTATTTTATTCTCTTCTAAAATAATAAAAATGTAAGATGATAAAATATTTAAGAATGTTGGCCAAAACAAAACTGTAAAAGGTAACAAGCTTTGTAGAAGAATTATGTTTTAAAAAGAGGAGAAAAGCAGTTCTGCTACGCCCACTGGTGGATGGTGAGAGAACTGCAGGTCCACAACTACATGTTTAATTTGTTTCGTGTTTGATTTGTTTGGTTATATTCACACGCCATCATTCAGAGATCAAGACTGTTCCTGTAATGTTACTGTCAAACGAAGTCATGTCTTTCATTGTACAAAATACATTAAAATGTTATTTTGTGCTTGAACAAAAACGAGTAATCATCCAAACCCAGACTTGAAAACAGCATTTCACACAATCAAACACCGAGTTTTATCCGAACTGAAGCTGTTCTGTGGATTTCTCTATCACAGAGAAAGCAATGTGCATATATTCACTCTGCAGGGATTCCCAAGGCTCTTTGCTCGGACTACTTTTCTTTGCACTTCAAATTAACATGTATCTAAATATTAATATTCCAATGTACGCAGATGATGCAGTAGTCTTCACACAATGACACGCTCAAAATCACACATTCTTATGTCTTACAGAGGCACTGACTCAGGTTCAAGAGTGACTTCAAAATCATTAACTTGACTAATTATTGAACAGTGTGTTGTAACGCACGATCTGATATCGTCCTGTTAGTGTTGTTCCCAGATCATCATACTAAATGTTGTTCCTGGATCAACATTGCAAGTGACCAATCAGAATGTTGTGATGTCATACTTTTGCGACTTCGGGAAAAAACGCCGTAAAACAAAAAACTGTACTTAAGCTGCGAGAAACCGCCTCTGTCCGCCGATCAACGGACCCTGACCCTAACCCTAACCGTAACCGTAACCCTTTAATAAACGGTAAGCAGAACTGATATTGTCCTTGCAACATTGGAATTTCATAAATGCAGGAATGACTTGGCGCGCAAAAGAATAACGTCACAACAATGTGATTGGTCACATGCAATGTTGAACCTGGAACAACATTTTCATGATGATCTGGGAACAACACCAACACGACGATATCAGATCATCCGTGTTGTAACAGTCACAATGGTGTGGTGTCTCTTTAAGACAACCCAAGTCGAGGGTTAATGTTGTCATCCGTACGCGCCACTACTCTGTTTGTTAAGCTGCAGCCGTTCAACCGGGCTTATATGGTTGACGAAGGGAACGTGTATTAAAGAACACGCTGTGGAATTCCCAAAGCCAGCGTGAGTGTGTATTCTTTCGATAGTGTGATGTTTATGAAACAACTAATGACACTGTAAACAAGTTCAGTTAACTTTGACTCACTTTGGGCTCGGGTGTAACAGTATGACTGAAAATTTCAACAACAATTTAAAATTTAATTTACACAAATCCAAGCACATCAGGCCATTTCCGGGAAAAAAATCGATAAAGGCAATCTCTTAAGCTTCGATCATTTAAAAAACATGGCAGTTTTATGTGTAAAGTTTTATATAGACTTTCCCCAATACTTTCAGTTGATTTATTAGGGGGATTGGTGTTAGAGCTGCTGCTAGAGTAGACAGCGAGGGGCCTGATAGGCGAACCAAATGTGAGTAAAATGTGAGGTCAGTAAAGGGGAGTAACTATTTTGGCACTTCTCAGATCGACGCTGCACATACAATGAAAGCTGATCTCAAACAAACCAGACTTGTCATCATTTTTTACTCCACGTAGTTTTTATTTGTTTGTGTGTTTTTTATGTTACCTGCACAGAGATTATAGATAAAAGCTGATTCAAATCTGGCACATCTGATGTTAACACGCACTGTGCAGTTTTTAAATAAATACAACAGCAAGAATGAAATGACCAGGTTTCAATTAACTTATTTTTTAGCTCCTTTTATTTCGAAACATTTCTGTTTCCTGGGCTTCACTTCTGATCGGTCTCGGCTCGAACACAGGTGCAGCCGACCGCCACAGAGCGGAACGATGCTTTGTAGCAGCGCCGGCCATTGTGTGAGGTCAGGACCAGAATGTCCTGGTAGATGGGGACTGAGTTCAGGTTGTGTTGGTCCTTCTGTCCTGGGATGGGACTGGAACAAAAGCTGGTACTGCACTCGGCCTCCCAGAGCGTCCTGGGGATTCGGTTTCTGTCCGTGTTTGGCCTGAGTCAACAAACACAGCAACAAGTGAAATTAGACATTTATCAGAGTTGTTTCTGTTTTTACTCATTCAGTCATTCATTCACAAATTCATTCATGAGTTTACTCACGTCCAGTTCCACGGAGACAGAGATCTGCTGTGGATGTCCCCGTTTCCTTCAGTCAAGCTGGTGATCTCAGAGGAGAACGTCAGCATGGTGTCACATTCAGCTGCAGATTCAGTTTCAACCTCGGAGTGAGCGACCCACAATGCACTGCAACATACCTGAATATACAAGATTACCAACAAGTTACAATCTTGGGTTTTACTAAATGCAACTATTTCAACCATTTTTACATTTTTCTGCATACATATATGTATTCCAGAGCTTTCTGAGCATCCTCAGCCTGTTTGAAACATCGTTCAGTGATTTCAACTTTTAATCTAGTATGAAGAGTACGAACCTCTTAGAAACTCTTAGTGAAGCTCATCTGTGCAAGTTTCTCAGTAAGTTTTTAGTCTGTACTAGAAGCTTAAAATACTAAAACTAGAATTATTTGTTTCACAGTTTTAAACTCTGCCTTTTAAAGACTGTTAGAGCGTTTATTCCTCAAAGTCCATACGTGTGAAAAAGACAGTCCTCTCTCACTGCTTCCATGTGAAGCGGAGGGTAAGTATCAGCCAATCAAATGCCCTTCATTAACCGATTAATGATCCGAGGGACCACTTCTATATACAGGTGTATATGTTAACACACTCAATGCCACAATCTCCCCAGGAGCAGACATACCAGCAAATTCACCCTGAGCTCAAACCCAAGAGCTCCATGAAGATGCATGGCTGAAAAAGAAAAGAATCAAGCTGCTGCAGTGGTGCAGAGTCCAGAGAGCTGTGCATGAACGAATGGTGCAAACCTCGATGAACTGAAGCAACGCTGTTACCGAGAGTGGACCAAAACTGCTCGGCAGTGATGAGACAGACCGATAGACTCACACAGAGAACAAAGTTCAAATCCAGAGTGAAAATGTGAGAACAACAACAATTATAGATGTAATATCAACACAAACAAGCTCTTTTTAATTAAGTCTATCCGGATTTAATCCATGGTGTTGCCCAGAGGAGCGTCACCCTGAAGCTGGATGGGAATGCTGGGTTGGACTGTTTTAAAGGAGATTCTGTGGATTCTTCAGAAAAAGCTGGAAATCAAATCCCAAACCTGACATGCTTCGAGCCTCCATCAGCATCTGTTAACCTGAGCGCGCTGCTGAGAGTCTATAAAAATATCTAAAGACACCCCGGACTTCATCCCTTAAAGGTTATTTTATTATACTTTTTAGTGAGATGATGACAATTTAAGCAACGACAAACTTCATCACTCTAAACGCTGTTTTAACAGGGTTTAAATTTCAAATCTACAGGGTCGAATAAGAACCATGATAAGCACAAAAAAAGACATGATAGTCCATTAAACAGCAGCAGCCGACACAAAACTCAGTTTTAAATATAAATAAACACAGAGTGTCTGCAGGAGGACGATTTCACAGAGAGTTTTAGGACGGGATGAACTATTACGCGTCAGGACTGTGTAACTATTAGGTAAAAATACCAAAAACTGTTATAGTTGATTAAATATTATGTTAGCCACACACATTATAATTATTATAAACCCGGTGAGCCGTACAGGAGATTATCTGGAAACGTGAAGTAAAACATTACTTTATTAAAAGCGTTTTCTGACCAGTTTAAATTTACTCACCTGCCTAAAGACCCGCGCTGGGTCCAGTTCTGGAAAGCTTGACACCTGCGCTGCACACCTGACTCTTCTAGGCCAGCTAACGACATCTCTAAAAGACACTTTTCATGTCCATCCATTAAATGAACCCAGTAAAACCTTTCAGCCACTGCTGGTTCTTCCAGTCTGATCAATTTCACAGTCAAACTGCTAAATTTGCTTTGCGCTGGTACTTCTCACCAGTCATCCCCAATCTAACCTTTGCGACTATCAGCCGTGAGTAATTTCTTGCTTGTAATTTCCAGCAGACTAATATAATCTGGCTTTTCATCTTTCAGTCGCAGTAAACAGATGATCAGAGTGAATAAAGCCGACGCTCACCAGCAGAGTGTAGACGCCGTGCCTCAGCAGCTTCATGATGTTGCTCTGGTCCCGTCCAGCGTCTGTGTGCGACTGCTCTCAGATCAGCACAATTTATGCTGATCAGATGTGATCACGCCTGATCTTTGAGATGATAACAGCTCAAGAAACAAAACGGGAGATTCCTGTTATCTCTGCAGACCATCTGAATCACACGATGAAAGCCTGACAGGCGGTCTGTCAGATGAAAAGAACACGTTTGCTGCACTGATAACATCTGTGACAGAAAAACAGGAAAAACGTGTAAAACAGCAGAAGCTGAATTTTAATTTCAGTGTGGTCGTTTAATTTAAAGAACAGAATTTGTTTTAATGACAACAGATTCTACTTTTTTTATTTTCTGTAATATAGTGTCCACGGTTTGCATTAAATGTGTTAATAAGTGTACGCTCAGCTTCTCTCTGATGATCTGAGATCATCACTATTTTTCTTTATTTGGTCATTTCCTTCAGGCACAGCAAACTCTGGTCTTCCTGCTAAGAATGTAGGTGTTCTCCTACCTGAGCAGAAACTACATATGTTCAATTTTAAGAAGCATTCGCGATCAGAGACGTCCTGAAGTAATTTGTTTGGACAACAGCTCCATCCATTTTCCTCACCTACGATCATGGTGGTGGGGAAAGTTCTCCCAGCTGACAGAGGGCAAAAGATCTCAAACACCTGGAGACAGACGCACCTGCAGCCAGTTTACGATCGTTAGTGAGCATGTCTTTGGAGCGCGAGGTGAAACCTGCAGAGCTGCAAGCAGAAGGTTCAGAGCTTCCAACCCTGACCAACACGCCGCTCTGCTCCAGCACACTTATCTTTATCCTGATCGATCGAAATTGATCAAAAAAAAATTATCTGATTGTGTTCATGCACTGCTTTTGCAACTGATGTATCTCAACAGGAAGCAGGTTTCATATCTGCAACATTTATCTAACCTAAATCTAACCAAGTTTATTCTATTTGATAAGGTCCCTCCAGCTTCCAGAAGTGTTTCTGGTCCTTGTTAAATAATGAAATCATCACATGTGAGAACGGAGAGATGACAAATGGTGTTCAGGAAGGTTAGAAAACTGGGAAAGTTGTGTCCGTGGACATAAAACTTGTGCGAGGCTGCGATGTGCTTTCTGAACTTCTGATTTGTAATAAAAAATAAGAAGCAATGTCGTTCAGAAGCTGCTTTTCCACATTCGCGCTGCTTCTCATCGTGCTTCCAGAAGCTGGCCGACAAAGAAAGTTTGGAAGAAGGTTTGCTTTACAGATACGTAGAAGACTTGGTTGGCTTTGTGTCGAGGTCTGCAGTCCTGTGGTGTCATTCAGGAGTCCTTTGTTCTTTATCTCCTGCTGACTCTTTCCTCTGAAATAAAAGGCATAAAATCCCCCCAAAAGTGTCTTCAAAGTGCACGCTGCCCTGAATTTTACGATGTTGTTTTGTTAGTAGTTTCTTATCTATTCGATCCATCATCTACCGTGAGAATTCAGCTCCCCGCGTGGGATCATTCCAGTTTATCTCGTCTTTATCTGCATCTTTTACTGTCAGCACATCAGCAAAACATCTGATCTAAATATCTGTTTCCTCTTTGATAATCACCGTATCTGTTTATTCTGTAAAGCTAAAGTTGGGTTTTTAATCATCGCGGTGGGAAAAAAGGCTCTGATTATTTCAGTATATAAGATAAGATACAGTAAGGTCCATAAGCATTTGGACAGAGACTTTTTTCTAATTTTGGTTCCGTGCAGTACCCCAGTGGAACAACTCAGATGTAGCTGAAATGCAGACTCTTAGCTTTAATTTGGTGGGTTGAAATAAAAAATGTGAGGGAGCTAAAGTAAATCACTTCATTTCAGGGCCCAAAAGCAATTGGACAAATTAAATAACTGAAAATGAAACGTTCATTTCTAATACTTGGTTGCAAAGTCTTTGCTGGTAATGACAACCTGAAGTCTTAAACTCGTGGACATCGCCACATGCTGGTTTCCTCCTTTTTAATGCTCTGCCAGGCCTTTACTGCAACCGTCTGTTTGTGGGCCTTTCTGTCTTCAACAAGTGAAATGTGTGTTCAGATCAAGATCAGGTAACTGACTTGGCCATTTGTGAATATTCCACTTCTTTGCTTTAATAAACTCCTGGGTTGCTTTGGCTGTATGTTCTGTATCATTGTTCATCAGTTTTATGAAACTGCCCAATTTGACTGTATTTGACAGTTTGTCTCTGAACACCTCAGACTTCATTCTGTCCTGTGTCACAATATCATAAACACTAGTGTCCCAGTGTCACTGGCAGCTTTGCACGCCCAAGCCATCACACTGCCTGTGCCGTGTTTTACAGATGATGTGATGTGCTTTGGGTCATGAGCTGCCTTCTGTAGCATGGAAATGATTCTGCGATCATCCACCACTGTTGTCTTCTGTGGGCATCCAGGTCTTTTTAGGTCACCAGTGCTTTCTTTCTTTCTCAGGATGTACCAAACTGTAGGTTTTGCCACTCCTAATATTGTGGCCACTTCTCAGATGTTTTTGTCTGTTTTTGCAGGTTGGCTTGTTTCACCTGCATGGAGAGCTCCTCTGACCACATGTCATCTGTTCATACAAAATCTCCCAGATGCAACCACACCTCAAATCAACTCCAGGCCTTTGATAATGACATAACAAAGGAATTGCCCATGAAACACCCTTTGAGTTAATCGTCCAATTACTTTTGGTCCCTATAGAAAGAGTGTGGCACATGTTAACGACCTGAAACTCTTCATCCAATTTGAATGTGGATACGCTCATATGAAAGCTGAGAGTCTACACATTATGCCCAGACTTCATTTTTCAATTTGTGAAATGTGCATTTGTCCTTCATAATTAATTAATTAAAATTCTGTACATTGGTCAAGATAAAGAGAAAAACTTAACGATTAAAATTGGAGGATTTAAAAAAAATATTTTATATCTTTTGTAAACCCTGATGTTCATAAAAAATACACACCTTCATGTTTTTAATTTGATTTAAAAGCTTGGTATTTAAAAGTGGCCCAATAATTATTTAACCTGTACTGATGCTGACAGATGTTCTTTAAAGGCTTGAAGCTTTTGTCCTTCCACAGCTCCAAACCAAAAATGATAAAATAATAATATTAACCAATAATAACTTCTTTTTATGGCACTTTTCAAAACACAGAGTTGAAAAGCACTTTGCAGTTCAAATAAAGGCACACATAATTCATTACACGCACAAACATGCACATGCACGCACGCACGCACACACACACACACACACACATGCATGGTTTCAAACTATGGCTAAAAATGACTTTTTCAGCAAATAACAAATAACAAATAAAGCCTACCTGATTGACCGAGGAAGGCTGTTCCACAGTTTGGACGTAACAACCTCCAAAATCACAGAAGGTTATGAGCTCTGCAGTGTGAGCAGGGCCTGTCCATGCAGAGCCTCACATGTTAAGAACAGAATTCTAGTCTAATCTTCTAATCTCACTGGAAGTCAGTGATGGGATGCAAGGATTGGACTAAAATTTAAGAGGTTAACTGACAGTAAAGGTTTGATCTTTTCAATATTTCTCGGATGAAGGAAAAAAGACCAGGTAACCTTTGATGCGAGTTTCAGGTGCTGATCAAAAATGATACCAAAGTCTTTTGATTTGATGTTATTGGCGAGGGGGCTGATGTACTGACTGACTTCCTTAGAGAATCTGGGCTAAATGTTTGTGGTGTAACCTGAATTATTAAATTACTGCAGAAAAAAACTCATCTGCTGAAAATTTGCTGATCAGTACGAGTGGAATTTTTTTTGTGTCGTTTTCATTTTTTTTCTTCTTATTCTGTAAACTTGTCGGTTTTATGTTTTTCATTAATAACAACAACAATGATAATAACAATCATAAACATAATCATAATAGCAATAATATATTACACTCCATGTCCTGGTGTCCTGCATTTGGGTCCTCTTAAAAATTCTCATCATGATTGACTGTGCAGGCCGGCACAGCTGTGCCAGATGTTTTATGTTTAACACATGAACCATGTTTTCACCAAGGAGGACCAGCTCATCAAATTCAACCCTCTGAAAAACTGCAGCAAAGTCATAATCGTTAGATTTTCCATAAAATCGCTTTGCGATGAGTGAAAAGCTGCCGGGCGGCGTTTCTCAGTGACATGCTGCTACTTCAGTTCACCTGATATTTAAACAGGATAATAAACACTGAGATGCTCTGCACGCTCTGCAGAAGAGATAAAACAAACCAGCACCAGTATGACGTCCACAATCACACCTACATGACCATTAATCTTTGATTAAATGACTGTAGCACCTCCCACGCAACAATTAAATGAGTCATTCATTAGTCTGAAATTGACTCAAACAAACAGTGATGCCTCTCCTTGTTCTGGTGACCAAATGCATCTGTTATGGTAAAAACACAGCAACGTGAATCTTTTTTTTTTTTTTTTTTTTTTTGGCCTGTCCCGTTTGGCTCTTTTGCCATCAGAATTGTTGTCTAAAGGCAACAGCAACGTGAATCTACGGTGAGAGAAGATCGAAGAAATCAGCAGAAACCGCAGACGCTGCAGTAACACAGGTTAACCACAAGGGTACCGCAGTCCTGAGGACTTTCAGCTTCTGGAGGAAACTTCAGGTTTAACTTCGTGTTTCTCTGTTATGAAAGTGGTTTCATCTCCATAGTAACACTGCTGACCTAACCATAGAGATCAACGCACATGAAACTGCTGCCTACTGAAAATACTGTCACCATTCCCGGAAGACGTCGTGGAGCCTCAGTGCGTCAGTAGCACGAGGTCAGATTAGTAAAGACTGATCAAAGTGCTCGTCTTCCTCTAATGATCGACCAGGAAACACGGATCATATTAAAAAAAAAACTGCATTCTTCCTGCTTTTTTCTCGTTTCTTGTGCACTTTCAAAACGTGTTGTTGTTCTACACCTGAACAGGGTGGTGCCATACGCCACTGTTAGAGTATGCATATTATTATTACTGATGTCTGCATGTTTGGTGGAGTATAGAGAAGGTCAGAAAGAGCTTCACTGTGTCTTTGTGGATCTACAGAAAGCATAAACCTGCACTGATGTTTGGAGCTAATAGAGGAAGAGTAGAACAGAGTAGAATAGCGCTTTATTGTTCTTGTACATGCACAATGTAATTGTCGGTGCTCCACACCAACTGTGCAGGGATAAAATATACAGGGTGGGCCATTTATATGGATACACCGTAATAACATGGGAATGGTTGGTGATATTAAAGTCCTGTTTGTGGCACATTAGTATATGTGAGGGGGCAAACTCCTCAAGATGGGTGGTGACCATGGTGGCCATTTAGAAGTCGGCCATCTTGGATATAACTTGTTATTTACAAGTTTCTCTTTGTTCACAGCCATTGACATGTCGAAGAGGTTAACACGTGAGGAGCGGATCGAAATTGTGTTGATATCTGGTGAACGCAGTAACCGGATCATTGCAGCACATTTCAATGCAAGACACCCTACGAGACCACCCATCTCCCATGCTACAGTCAGCAAACTGCTTCCTAAGATTCATGAAACTGGTTCAGTGTTGGATTTGCCAAAATGTGGACGCAAGAAAACTGTCACTAATGAAGAAACATCAGTGGCTGTCCTAGCTACTTTTAAGATTAGGCTTCAAACTTTCCTTTTTGCTAAAGCATATA